TGGCTTTCAAAAGCCAATAGGAATTGTCCAGGCTGTCTCTGCCCTGCTGAGCCGCCAAAAGTCCCATTCTGCAAACGGTGCTGCACCAGTTGAGTAGTCCTCGATTTATGACTGGTTGAGTAGTCCTCAACTTATGACCGGTTGGGGGTCGCGGCATTAAAAAGGTTGAGAACCACTGTTCTAGAGAGCAGTCGGGGTTGATCTCCTCTAGGACTGACCGGTTGGATCGCCTTGCAGTCCAGGAGACTCGCAGGACTCTTCTCCAGCACCAGAGTTCAAAGGCCTCCATTCTTTGAAAATGGTGATAGCAGTGATGGTAACACTTATCTGAGGGACCGTCTCTGGAAGGTCACATCCACCTGACCCCCTAGAGCGGGGAGGGCAAGGAATGTTGTAGGACCTTCTCCGTGAAGCAAAGCTACAGTCCATCAAAGCACTTCCTTTGAGGTCTGAACCGAACTCAATTATTCTTCTTTATGGATTAACTTAAGCCAGTGCCTCCCCATCCCCTCCACCAGAGGAGAATGGAAGCGATGGCTTAAGGAAATACGCTAAATGTCGTTAGGCTTTCACAATGTTCCTTTCTGGGTTTGGCTGCTGATGAGAAACATTTCTGCCTTCTACAGTTCAAGAGGGGAAGCCAATCCCAGCACTGGCAGGACACCAGCTAGAGGAGCATCACGAGCCCCAAATGATTCTGCTGAAGCTCCACTAATATTAACGTTGTTTTCTTTGGGGGGAAATTTCTTCACATGACTCCAAACACAGCCTAGCCCAGTGTGCTTGAGAGCATTGACTGCACAATGCCGGGATGAATGTGTATAGTTGTCAGAAAATCTGCGTCTTCTATTCAAGTCTGCATACAGGGACCCGGTCGCAGCCACAAAAGACCCTGGCTGACACTGTGCCTTTGTAAAACAAGTCCAGATAATCTTCGACTTACGACCGGTCGCTTAGTGACTGAGGTTTGATGGGTCTAACTAGTCCAGGGGTAGGCAACCTTGGTTCTTTTATGACTCGTGGACTTCAACTCCCAGAATTCCTGAGCCAGCACGGGGGAACTATGGTCCCTTCACAACTCGTGGACTTCAACTCCCAGAATTCCTGAACCAGCATGGGGGAACAGTGGCCCCTTCACGACTTGTGGACTTCAACTCCCAGAATTCCTGAGCCAGCATGGCTCAGCTTGGAAACCTCTCCCTTTCCCCTCAGCGTGGCTGGCTCAGGAATTCTGGGAGTTGAAGTCCACGAGTCATAAAAGAGCCAAGGTCGCCTACCCCGGGACTAGCGGGATTCAAAGTTTTCAAAGTCCAGCACGGTTACATGGCAACTAGGGCACATTTACAATCCCCTGGCAACTAGGGCACATTTACAATCATTTGCCGTATCTTTGCAGCCTTGTTTTAGGACAAAAACCAGGAGTTACTTCCAGTTTTCAGGAAAACCAGCCCCGTAGCAAACCAGTGGGGCTGCCACAAAGAAGAGGGGGTCAGAACTATTCTCAAAAGCACCAGAGGACAGGACAAGAAACGGTTGGAAACTGATAAAAGAGAGAAGCAACCTAGAAGTAAGGAGTAGCTTCCTGACAGTGAGGACAATCAACCAGTGGAACAGCTTGCCTCCAGAAATCGTGGGCACTCCATCAGTGGAGGTTTTTAAGAAGAGACTAGACAACCACCTATCTGAAATGGTATAGGTTCTACTGCTTGAGCAGGGGGCTGGACTAGAAGACCTCCAAGGTCCTTTCCAGATTCTATTCTATTCTATTCTATTCTATTCTATTTTATTCTATTCTATTCTATTCACCACAGTATTGTTCACTTAATGACCTTGCTGAACAATGAACAATGTTAAAAAAGATCATAAAATCAGGACAGTCATGTGAATGACCCACTTTACAACCACCACATCTTAACGCCCATAATGGCCAGTCTCCATTATGATTGTAACTGGAAGACTACCTCTACTCAATTTGAATCCTGAAAATAAAGAGTGAATGCATCCTGGCCAATGAGAAGAGGTTATAAGAGATTAAAAAGAATCACATGATGGATTTCTTGTACTGTCTCAACTGGATCTATATAATGCTATAGGCCAGGGGTTGGCTACCTTGGCTCTTTTATGACTCGTGGACGTCAACTCCCAGAATTCCTGAGTCAGCCATGCTCAGGGGACAGTCATAAAAGTCATAAAAGAGCCAAGGTTGCCTACCCCTGCTATAAGGGAACTTTTCAAAAGACGTCACAGCTGGAGGAAAATGGAGAACCAATGTAGTATTCTAGGGTGGCAACCAATGCGCTGTGTATAAAACTGCCCAAAATACTGCCACTTTAATTCCCAGGTAATGAACTGGGAAAAAAAGTACTTAAAAATGAATGAAAACCCATTGGGAAATACCCTGGCACTGCCTTTGTTTATTTTTATAGGCAATAGTATGCTGAACCTTTGGAATAAAATCTGTTTCTCCCTCAAAAATATTTCTAGCCCAGTTTTAAAATGGAATTTTACACCAAGTTGTTCAAAGAACTGGCGAATATATTATTTTTGCACAATTTGTACCACAACTGTTTGAAACATCTGGAACGAACTTTCTCGATACAAAATTGATGTTTATATATATGTGTATGTATATGTACATACACACAAATACACACATTAAGTTCTGTACAAATCAATTCCCTTTATTCCCCCTTTAGAATAAGATGTTTTTTTGTTTTTTTGAAGTAGAGCAGTTCTGTCAAAAGCTTGTCACACCAGCTGAGAGTGAGATGCATGCTCCATTTTCACTCAAAGGAAAGAGACAGTCAACAGATGGTTCAAAACAATTTCATTAAGAATAGTTACAGCTGCTTATTTTCTCCCTTGGGAACAACATTGTTTTTTCCATATTTGGTAGCATTAAAGGAAGTGTGCAAGCACAGACGTCGTGAAAACAAAATCTACAGGTCCAGCTGTTTAGTAGACTAGATAGCAAGGCTTTAGTCAGAAAAGATGAGTTATTCAGCAGGATTGGCAAGGGGAAGAGATAAAAGAGATCACAGTTGAAATTTTACATCCATTTACAATCTCGATATTTTTTTTTTAAAAATGAAATTATACGGTTGCTGATGTATTATTCCGTCTGTGAAGAGTTTGTTGGTTTGGATAGTGCTGATCCCAGCCTGAGACTCTGACAAGATATAGAGCAGGGGTCTTCAAACCTGGTCCTTTTATGACTTGTGGACTTCAACTCAGCGTGGCTGGCTGAGGAATTTGGGGAGTTGAAGTCCACAAGTCATAAAAAGGCCAAGTTTGAAGACCCCTGATACTCCAAGCTCTAAGCTTGCCTATGTTTTGATGAAGCCACAAAACGTCAAAATAAGTCTCTTGACCAGAGGTCTTCAAACTTGGCGACTTTAAGACATGTGGACCTCAACTCCCAGAATTCCTCAGCCAGCCCAAGTTTGAAGACCCCTGCTCTTGACTTAAAGATGGCATTTTCTTGCTCAAGTGTTTATACATACAGATTCTTCCAAATGAGGACCCAGATTACTGGGGGCAATGTGTTGATGCAGTAACTGCCCAGAGAGTGTTGTAAAGCATTGTGGAACGGTATATAAGTCTAAGTGCTACTGCTACTCCTCCCACATATGACCATTTCTTTAACGACAGATTGAAGATGTGATAGGACTGACAAAAGTGCCTTATGAGCTAACCTTAAAGTTACCACCAGTCAACAAAGACTGAGGTGATTTGACTCACTTCTAATAGTAGTCCGTCTGCCTCTTTGAGGGAGACGGACGGTTCAGAAATGTGAAAAATAAATAAACGGAATAAAAATAAATATCGGAAAGGGATATTTAAAGACAGTGCTGGTGGGAAAGTTAGCAAGCATTGAATGGAAACAGGAACTCTGTTTTCCTATTATTATCAGAAGTAAAACAGTAATCTGATACACACACACACACACACACACACACACACACACACACACACACACACGTCTTTGGTTATTCGGGTTGCTTCTAGGAAACACGAAACCAAAAACACCAGCCTGAAGATGACAAATGAGACTTCATCGAAACGTCGCCAAGACACTTCCAATTTGACGCGGGAGAAAATCCGAATAACCAAAGACCTACATACAAACACCCGCGAAACCTCAGAAAAAATATGATCCCTGGGTATAACCATACTCAAAATCAAATAAATAAACGTGAGCACCAGGAATACTATAAAATTTTAATAAAATTTAGTAAAACACCAATAAAATTTCAATAATATATATATATGTGTGTGTGTGTGTGTGTGTGTGTGTGTGTGTCTGTCTGTCTGTCTTTGGTTGTTTGGGTTTTCTCCCGCGTAAAACTGGAAGTGTCTTGGCGACGTTTTGACGAAGTCCCATTCGTCATCTTCAGGCTGGTGCTTTCAGCTTCGTCATCATCTTCAGGCTGGTGCTTTCAGCCATTTGACGAATGGGACTTCGTCGAAACGTCGCTAAGACACTTCCAATTTTACGCGGGAGAAAACCCGAACAACCAAAGATCTACATATAAACACCCGTGAAAACCTCAGAAAACATATATATATATAAAAAAATGGGCCAATGACGTGCTCAATGGGCGCAGAGGCAGGAGGCTGTATGACAGTGTTTCTCAACCTTGACAATTTTAAGGCATGTGGACTTCAACTCCCAGAATTCCACAGCCAGCATTGCTGGCTGTGGAATTCTGGGAGTTGAAGTCCACATGCCTTAAAATTGTCAAGGTTGAGAAACACTGCTGTATGAGCTACCTTCCCAATCTCCTGCTATTCTAACTCTGATGACGCCGGCAGTTTTTTTGCCGAACGAAAGCTTAGTAACTCTTCTTAACCACAGGCTTGTTTATATTAAACAGGCTGGTTTATTATATCCTGGTGTTCATTTTTTCTTTTATTTGTTAATATATATATATGCACTGAGAGGGAAAGAGCTTTGTGTAATTGCAACAAGGAAACAAACAAGCAAAAAATTGTGTTACCAGAAACCGCTCCTCCTTTTCCAACCATCTCTGGTCTTCCTCCATTTCCTGCTGCTGTCGTATCAATCTCTCTTCCATTAGATGTGCTGGTAGGACATGTCCCATTCCGCGCATATCCAAAGTGCCAGAATCCTACAAAGCAGAGTGGGTGAACAGAAAAGAGACAAGATAAAAGGTTAAACTTTCAGTGATATTAATTTTAACCTGATTGTCATCAATACAGACCTGGCTTTTCTTTTTCAAGCCAGAGTATATATACTTGTTCTCTGGGCTATGGGAAAAAAAATGCCGAAAACAATGTAGTACCAATGGCCTAATACGTTAGCTTTGGTGGTAAGACAGAACATAGAATACAGAATAAGAGTTGGAACAGATCTTGGAGGTCTTCTAGTCCAACCCCCTGCTCAAACACGAGGCCCTATATCACACCAGGCAAAGGGATGTTCAACCTCATTTTAAAAACCTCCAATGATGGAGCACCCACAATTTCTGGAGGCGAAGCTGTTCCACAGATAATTATGTTCTCCCTGGGAAGAAATTTCCCCTTAATTCTTGGTTGGATCTCCTTGATAAGTTTCCATCTATTATTTCTTCTCCTGCCCTCAGATGTTTTGGATAATAGGTCAACCTCCTCTTCTCTGTGACAATTCCTCAAATATTTGAAAACTGCTATCATGAAACCCCCTAGATCAGGGGTCTTCAACCTTGGCAACTTTACGACTTGTGGACTTCAACTTCCAGAATTCCTCAGCCAGCATGGCTGGCTGAGGAATTCTGGGAGTTGAAGTCCACAAGTCATAAAGTTGACAAGGTTGGAGGCCCTATTGACCTTCTCTTCAATAGACTAGACCAGTGGTTCTCAACCTTTTTAATGCCGCGACCCCCAACCGGTCGTAAGTCGAGGACTACTCAACCGGTCGTAAGTCGAGGACTACTCAACTGGTGCAGCACCGTTTGCAGAATGGGACTTTTGGCGGGCTCAGCAGGGCAGAGACAGCCTGGACAATTCCTATTGGCTTTTGAAAGCCAATAGAATTAGACTCTATTCAAGAGAGTCTATTCTATTGGCTTTCAAAAGCCAATAGAATAAAAGGGAGTAGCACAGCTAAGGAAAAGGGGAAAAAATGGCGGACTGCGTTGTTTGGCGACCCCCGTGAAATGGTCGTTCGACCCCAAATGGGGTCCCGACCCACAGGTTGAGAACCACTGGACTAGACATACCCAATTCCCACAACCGTTCTTCGTATGTTTTAGCCTCCCGTCCCCTAATCATCTTTATTGCTCTTCTCTGCACTCTTTCTAGAGTCTCAATATCCTTTTTGTATTGTGGCGACCAAAACTGGACGTGGTATTCCAAGTGTGGCCTAACCAGTGCCGTATAAAGCGGTGCTAGCTTTTTTTCAGAGTAAAACCAAACACCGCCACGAAACCAAAACTTATCTAACCTAATTCAATACTCACTTGAAGAGTTGTTAATGCCAAGAATTTAAAACAAAAGTCTGGGTAGCAGAAAAAGGCCCATCAGGCAGAAAATATGCTTCACAGAGAGAGGCACAAGTAAAAAAAAAGAGACTTTTAAGGTAACAAATGCTTGGAGATTTCATCTAACAGTGGACTTCTTTGTATCAGGAAAACCACAGGTGACTCAAGTAGCAATTAAGACAATGCTTGGCATTACGATCCCATGTTCCCAGGACTGGCGTCCCTTCATATCTTGACAATACGATTTCCAAAACTGCATGTTGAATGCTGAAAGCTCTAGCCTTAATGTATCTCAAAGTCATGAAGTTGTGAAGTTTGCTCCACCCAAGCCACACCGACACACACACACACACACACACACACACACACACACACACTCACTCTTATTGACTTTACTGAAAATTTTGTGGCACGCCAAACAAGCCTTCTTTCTCAGCAAGGAAGAATTCCCATATTAAACATGGACGATCAACAAAGGTTTCAAATGCTTTCTGCTGATCCGTCATTCCTCTATGAAGCACGCATGTCTCTAAGTCAGGGGTCGTCAAACTTGGCCCTTTTAATGACTTGTGGACTTCAACTCCCAGAATTCCTCAGCCAGGCACGCTGGCGGAGGAATTCTGGGAGTTGAAGTCCACAAGTCATAAAAGGGCCAAGTGTGACGACCCCTGTTTGTTCTGATACGCGTTGACTATGGGCTGGAGCAAATTAGGGACAACAAGGAACTATTCTGAATTTAGAGATGAAACAGATGAAAAATGTAGAAGCAGCGAACTTTCTCTTTCTCCCTCACCTGCCTATGAACACACAAAGCTCCCCATGTCTTTGCGCTGCAGAAAAGACGACGCCAGAAAGGTATACAAAAACTGTATGCTAAGATGGATGCCCCTCTACTCACATTTTGAGAAACATCTGTCATACTTTTTCTTTCAAATATTTTCCTTATTATAGCTCTCTGCTAAAAATGGCATTCAAGGAAGAAACCAATAAAATACAGATTTATTTATTTTTTTTAAAAAAACCTATCTGGTTTAATTATGTTTTACGATCTGGGTTACGGGATAGCCAAATTTAAATGCAAGGTTGGGGTTTCTTTTTTTGTACTTTGACACTTGCAAAAAGTACAAAAAAAGAAGTAATAAGAGTCATCTGACTAAACGTTTTGTCCCCAAGAAATATGTTTAAACCAGAGGTCTTCAAACAGCCAGCCCTGGCTGGCTGAGGAATTCTGGGATTTGAAGTCCACAAGTCTTAAAGTTGTCAAGTTTGAAGACCCCCTGGTTTAAATGCCAATCAGTGCCTGAATGAAGTTCTACTCTATTGGCAAACAACCAGAAATGGAGATAGACTGGTCTCCTTTGATGGCAGCCACAGGGGCAGGTAACTGGAAAGGACCGTAACAACCACGTCAATCTGCTTGAGATAATATTGTTTTGACATGGCCTCACCCCAATTTCTGCAAGGCTTTGCAAAGCATAACCAACTGCATCCAGGAACGATCCAATAGCTGAAGAAATTGCTATGACGCAAGAGTCACAGGCTGATTCCAAGTCAATAATATAGTGAGCCATTCCGGAACAGCTGAAGTTTCAAAATACATTGGAAACTATGCAGAGACAATCCAACAGGGAGGATAGTTCAGGGGGTTTTCCAACTTGGCCCTTTGATGACTTGTGGACTTCAACTCCCAGAATTCCTCAGCCAGGCACGCTGGCTGAGGAATTCTGGGAGTTGAAGTCCACAAGTTATAAAAGGGCCAAGTTTGAAGACCCCTGGGATAGTTAAACAAAAGCCTCATCATTGCCCGTTACAGGGTGGAATCAAAGCTGCTGGTTACCCAATCAGCCATCCATCACCTGCTTTCATAATCCACGCAAAGCTCTAACACAGTGGTTCTCAACCTTTTTAATGCCGCGACCCCCCAACCGGTCGTAAGTCGAGGACTACTCAATCGGTCGTAAGTCGAGGACTACTCAACTGGTGCAGCACCGTTTGCAGAATGGGACTTTTGGCGGGCTCAGCAGGGCAGAGACAACCTGGACAACTCCTATTGGCTTTTGAAAGCCAATAGAATTAGACGCTATTCAAGAGAGTCTATTCTATTGGCTTTCAAAAGCCAATAGAATAAAAGGGAGTAGCACAGCTAAGGGAAAGGGTAAAAAAATGGCGGACTGCATTGTTTGGCGACCTCCGTGAAATGGTCGTTCGACCCCAAATGGGGTCCGGACCCACAGGTTGAGAACCACTGGTCTAACACGCTTGTGATAAATCTCATCTATCCAAGTGTTGTCTCCGTACCTTCAGAGCAAGGATGGGCAACGATGGCCTCCTTGATGACCTGTGGACTTCAACTCCCAGAATTCCTGAGCCAGCCCTGAAGTCCACAGGGGCCATCGTTAGCCACCTCTGCCAACCTGTATGCTTACATCACTGCTACAGTAAAGCTTCTAGTGCAGGGGGTCTTCCAATTTGGCAACTTTAAGACTTGTGGACTTCAACTCCCAGAATTCCTCAGCCAGCCCTGGCTGGCTGGGGAATTCTGGGAGTTGAAGTCCACAAGTCTTAAAGTTGCCAAGTGGGAAGGCCCCTGTTCTAGTGAACTCTAGCTTCTGTTCAATCACACTACTTCCAAATTTGCCATCAACAGGATCCCACCCATTTCACTGCCACCAACATCATTTTAGCTTCAACATTTTTTGGCCCTGTGCAGTGGATTGATCTGGTCTTTGAATGTCAAGTAGACACGTCCATCGTAAGTGCTAATACAAAGCCATTCAGATCATCCAACCTTTGGGAGTTGAGCAACTTCATTGGTCTCATTGAACTTCTGCAAAAGATGTAAGCCACGCCAATTCTAGCAGAACTGTAAAAATTTCCTCCCATCTAGATTACAATAATCTACCTAACACAAAGAAGTGAACTAAAGCTACAGCCTGCCAAATAAGGCAATAAATATCAGTAACGACATACCCACACTTGCCACGGAAGTCATGAAATCTCAAGACTGTCTCAGAATTTTAAGTGGCTGAATCAAGAACCACAGGAATAACAGGAATAACAGTGTTGGAAGGGACCTTGGAGGTCATTTAGTCCAACCCCCCTGCTCAAGCAGGAGACCTTATACCATTTCTGACAAAGACCTTGCACCATTTCTTGAAAGGCTCCAGTGATGAAGCACCCACAACTTCGGAAGGCAAGCTGTTCCATTCGTTGTTAAATTATTCCTAAATAACTCTTTGGTATGGGCTAACTCAGTGATGGCGAACCTTTTAGAGGCCGAGTGCCCAAACTGCAACTCAAAACCCACTTATGCATCGTCGGGTGCCAGGTGGGTGTGGCCCATTGGGTGGGTGTGGCCTACTGAGTGGGCATGGCTGTAGTGGTACAGGTGGCCCAGCAGTTAGAGGGCAGTACTGCAGGCCACTTTAGCTGATTGTGTTCAGTAGGTCAGTGGTTCAAATCTCACCGGCTCAAGGTTGACTCAGCCTTCCATCCTTCCGGGGTAGGTAAAATGAGGACCCAGATTGTTGGGGGCAATGTAAATATATATATATATTGCTTACTGGTGTATACCGCTTAGAGAGTGCTTGCACTTAAAGTGATATATAAGTCTCATAAAATAAATAAATAAATAAACAAACAAACAAACAAACAAACAAACAGTAGACTGGGTGGGACTAAAAAGTTCAATCAATCAATTCCAACTTTGCAACATCTTTTTTTTTTCACGCGAGGTTGAAATTGACTGATTGAACCTTTTTTTTTTTTTTTTGCACATGGTGGCGGAGGTCTAAAGCGAAAAGGTTTTATAAAACCCAGCTGAAGGCCTAGGACTGGAGCGACGACGTGCGTGCCCACAGAGAGGGCTCTGAGTGCTGCCTCTGGCACGCGTGCCATAGGTTCGCCACCACTGGGCTAACTTGACAGTCCACATGAGTTCGCAGGAGATATCCATGAGCGGACAATCTAAAATTTATCAGAAAGATTAACTGACAAATCTAGGTTGCCTTTCAATTCCACCATAATAATTAAGGAATATGGGCATGGGGCTGCAGTAGTTAAAATGCAGTATTGCAGGCTAATTCTGCTGCCTGCTTGCTGCCTGCAATTTGGTAGTTCGATCCTCACTAGCTCAAAGTTGACTCAGTCTGTTATCCTTCAGAGGTCAGTAAAATGGGGTCCCAGATTGTTGGGGACAATATGCTGACTCTGTAAACTGTTTAAGAGAGGGCTGTAAAGCACTGTGAAGTGGTATATAAGTCTAAGTGCTATTGTTGGTGCTATAATATGTGCATCAGCACAGAGACACTTCAAATAAAAAGGGGGGGGGGAAGGTCTGTGAAGTAACTGGATGGAAATTACCTCCATGTTGGGTTGCCACATGGATATGTCTTGAGGCCGATGGTTCCAGGAATCTGTTTGATCCAACAGAGAAGCTTGTCCTGGATAAATGCTACCTGCCAGGGATGGAATTCCATGGGGACCGGGATAGCCTGAAACCTACCAAAAGATACAGAGAAATGCTTCAGGACACTATGAAGTCTTACACCAGAACTTCCCGTGCTGCAGGAATTTAAAATAAAATAAATGCAGTGGCAGGAGAGATATGGAAAAGTAATTGGGAGGGGGAAAAAATAATTGGCATTGTTGCTTGCAATCAAAATGTGACGTATGAGCTGCGAGTCCAGGAGGAGCTCCAAAGTATGAGCTAGCTCAATGTAGAGCAGGGGTCTTCAAACTTGGCCCTTTTGTGACTTGTGGACTTCAACTCATGCTGGCGGAGGAATTCTGAGAGTTGAAGTCCACAAGTCGTAAAAGGGCCAAGTTTGAAGACCCCTGGTGTAGAGCAAGACTGGAGACAGCATATCCCTACAGTCAGATGGCCTCTGACCTCATAACTACTTGCCGGAATAAATCCTATCCTAGCCAGACCCTGACAGCCTTCCCAAGCATTTCAACAGCAACTCAGTTGCATCAGCTGTTCAACTTGGGATTCAACTGGATAGCAAATGGATGGTGCCTAACCTCCTAAAGATAACATCACCCAGCAGTTTCATGTCATTGTTAAACTGGAATGGAGAGAGCACCGAACCATGAGGGACCGCATGATGGACGGCCATTGGATTCAATCTCTCTCCACCAGCGCTACAGACTGGAACTATCCCATTAAGTTGGGATAACTGCTGCAGAAGGGTCCCTTCCATTCCCAACCCCTAGTGCTGGCCCATAAAGGTATCTTGGTCATTGACCTCAAAAGCCACTGAGAGCTGAAGCAGTACCATGAAAGTGTCCCTCCCACTGAAAGCCACCCACAAGTATACTCCATGTAGTTTAACTGCCCTTGAAACCAGCCTAAAAAAGAGTCAAGGTCATCCACTTCCTTCTGGCCAGCTGTCATTGCAAGACTTACCACCTTCTCAACAAAAAAAGAAGGCTGAAGACTAGGTTATAAATGCTTCAAGTCAACTGGGTCACGTTGATTTCTTGACAGGAGGCATAGCAAGATCCACCAAGGCTGGAGGCGTCACCCTCTCACTCAAGAAAGCATTTCCCATGTTGTGTGATCCATCTTCCCGTCACCTGCCTAGAGGCTTTCACAAGCCTAGTATCATCAGAAACCCAGCCCTCTTCATCTGAACAAGCTCAAACTCATCCTAACCCGACCTCACGTGATGTAATCTCAGTCAGTTCCATAGAAACAGCCCACAACTCAGCCTACAGCCTACAGCCTACAACTCAGACAAGATCCTAGGGACTTTTTTCCACTTGATACTCCCTGAGTATGATTCACAGAGCATCAAACAAATGCTAGTTTAGCCCATTCTTGCCTAAAATGGTTTGAGTCACTTAAACAAACAAACAAAAAAACCAATTGCAGTTAAGAGTGGTGAAATATTAAAATGTTGCTCTTTTTACAGGTAGTTCTCCCGCAACAACCACAATGGTGACTCCGTGGCCAAGAGAGGTGGTCATTAAGTAAAACGTGTGAACATGCCAGGCTTATGACATCACCACAGTTGTTAAATGAGACATCGCCATTGAGTTTGCTTGTTGAACGCCAGCTGCGAATGAAATTAAATGACTGAAAGGATACTACAATAGTAGTAAATCTGACAGCCAGTCGTAAAGAGAGAGTCTCACTCAACCAGGTCATGATCGTCCTAAATGTGCTTTTTCCAAAAGGCAACTGGACTTTCCTGTTTTTTCCTTGAAAGCGTTTCACTTTAATAATAATAACAATAATAACAACAACAACAACAGACAAGCACCTGCAACATAACACTCCACACTTAACAATTGTCGATAAGAAAGACAAAAAAGTCTGGATAGTGGACATGGCAGTGCCTGGAGACAGCAGAATAGACGAGAAAGAACTGGAGAAGATAACAAAATACAAAGACCTACAAATAAAAATAGAAAGACTGTGGCAAAAGCAAGCAAGGGTAGTACCAATAGTCATAGGCTCCTTGGGTGCAATCCCAGAACAACTGGAGCACCATTTGAATACCATTGGCATTGATAAATTCGCTATTAGTCAATTGCAAAAGGCGGCCTTACTAGGAACTGCTTCCATCCTGCGACGATATCTGTAATACCATCAAACATCCACATCTGCCTATCCCAGGTCCTGGGTAAGGACTTGATAGGTAGACAAAATGCCAAATCCAGCCTGAATATCTGGCTGACTGTGCGATGATCCATAATAATAATAATAAATGTGCCACACTTACTATCAAACAAGGAAAAATAGTGAAAACTGAAGGAATCAAGATGCCCCACAAAATAACATTAAGAGTCTGGATGAGGAAGATTACTACAAATACTTGGGTATCCTTCAAACGGACAACATCAAGCACACTGAAGTCAAGAAAAAGATTAGAGGTGAATACATCAAGAGAGTGAAGAAGATCTTAAAAGTCCAAACTCAATGGAGGAAATACCATAAAGGCAATCAACACCTGGGCAACACCTAAGAGCAGGAAAATTGAAGAAAGAGATCGAGGGACTAATTCTGGCTGCACAAGACCAAGCCTTAAGGACAAATGCATATAAAGTCAAAATTGAGAAGACAGCAACAGACAGTAAGTGCCGCCTATGCAAAGAAGCTGAAGAAACAGTGGACCACCTGGTAAGCTGTTGCAAGAAGATTGCATTGCACAGACTGACTACAAGCAGCGGCATGACAAAGTAGCAACAATGGTGCATTGGAAGATCTGCAAAAAATATCATTTGCCTGTAAGCAAAAACTGGTGGGATCATAAAATAGAGAAAGTCATAGAAAAAGATAAAATTAAACTGCTCTGGGACTTCAGAATTCAAACAGACAAGCACCTGCAACATAACACCCCAGACTTAACAATTGTCGATAAGAAAGACAAAAAAGTCTGGATAGTGGACGTGGCAGTGCCTGGAGACAGCAGAATAGACGAGAAAGAACTGGAGAAGATAACAAAATACAAAGACCTACAAATAGAAATAGAAAGACTGTGGCAAAAGCAAGCAAGGGTAGTACCAATAGTCATAGGCTCCTTGGGTGCAATCCCAAAACAACTGGAGCACCACTTGAACACCATTGGCATTGACAAATTCGCTATTAGTCAATTGCAAAAGGCGGCCTTATTAGGAACTGCTTCCATCCTGCGACGATATCTGTAATACCATCAAACATCCACATCTGCCTATCCCAGGTCCTGGGTAAGGACTCAATAGGTAGACAAAATGCCAAATCCAGTCTGAACATCTGGCTGACTGTGCGATGATCCATAATACAGTAATAATAATAATAAAAAGTTGGAAGCGACCTTGGAGGCCATCTAGTCCAACCCCTGCTGAGGCAGGAAACCCTATACCATTTTAGTCAAATGGCTGTCCAGTCTCTTCTTAAAAACTTCCAGTGTTGGAGCACCCACTTCTGGAGGCAGGTTGTTCCACTGGTTAATTGTTCTAACTGTCAGGAAATTTCTCCTTAGTTCTAGGTTGCTTCTCTCCTTGATTAGTTTCCATCTGTTGCTTCTTGTCCTGCCTTCGGGGGCTTTGGAGAATAGCTTGACTCCCTCTTTTTTGTGGCAGTCCCTGAGATAGTGGAACTCTGCTATCATGTCCCCCCTTGTCCATCTCTTCATTAAGCTAGACACACCCAATTCCAGCAACCGTTCTTTATATGTTTTAGCCTCCAGACCTCTAATAATCTTTGTTGCTCTTCTCTGTACTCTTTCTAGAATTTCAACATCTTTTTTACATCGTGATGACCAAAACTGGATGCATTATTCCAAGTGTGGCCTTACCAAAGCATTATAAAGTGGTATTAACACTTCACGTGATCTTGATTCTATCCCTCGATTAATGCAGCCTAGCACTGTGTTGACTTCTCATCCATGAAGCTTTTTCAGCTTCTTCTAACCTGTACTGAAGAAGCTTCTTGGATGAGAAGTCCTAGAGGTATTTTTTCAGCATATCGTAACTTCAAATGGTCATTAACAGGACAATTATTTAGTGAGATAGCCTTGAGATAGCCTTGAACATGAACATTTACCCAACGTCAGTTGGAAAAGTTCTTTGTCTTCCACTACTGAAGTTCTGGGTATCTTCTCTGTCACTACACTCCATCTTATCTAAGACAGCCATGTTCCAAGAGGCAAAACCCTCAATACAACTGCCCATCAAAACCTTGGGGACTTCCCCAGGCCCCCTCAGAAACCATCAAGTGCCTTAGGTTGACTAAATCAGGTGTATACTCCCTATAAAAATTGGCACAAGCAATCAACTCCATAGGGAAGGGGTAGGCAACCTTGACTCTTTTATGACTCGTGGACTTGAACTCCCAGAATTCCTGAGCCAGCATCGCTGGCTTAGGAATTCTGAGAGTTGAAGTCCACGAGTCATAAAAGAGCCAAGGTTGCCTGCCCCTGATCTACGTCTATCTATCTATCTATCTATCTATCTATCTATCTATCTATCTATCTATCTATCTATCTATCTATCTATCATCTGTCTGTCTATCATCTAGGTCAGGGGTAGGCAACCTTGGCCCTTTTATGACTCGTGGACTTCAACTCCCAGAATTCCTGAGCCAGCATGAAGGAAATTTTGGCCCCTTCATGATTCGAGGACTTCAACTCCCAGAATTCCTGGGCCAGCATGGGGGGAACAATGGCCCTTTTATGACTCGTGGACTTCAACTCCCAGAATTCCTGAGCCGGCATGGCTCAGCTTGGAAACCTGTCCCTTTCCCCTCAGCATGGCTGGCTCAGGAATTCTGGGAGTTGAAGTCCACGAGTCATGAAAGAGCCAAGGTTGCCTGCCCCTGATCTACGTCTATCTATCTATCTATCTATCTATCTATCTATCTATCTATCTATCTATCTATCTATCTATCTATCTATCTATCTATCTATCATCTGTCTGTCTATCTATCATCTGTCTGTCTATCATCTAGGTCAGGGGTAGGCAACCTTGGCCCTTTTATGACTCGTGGACTTCAACTCCCAGAATTCCTGAGCCAGCATGAAGGAAATTTTGGCCCCTTCATGACTCGAGGACTTCAACTCCCAGAATTCCTGGGCCAGCATGGGGGGAACAATGGCCCTTTTATGACTCGTGGACTTCAACTCCCAGAATTCCTGAGCCGGCATGGCTCAGCTTGGAAACCTATCCCTTTCCCCTCAGCATGGCTGGCTCAGGAATTCTGGGAGTTGAAGTCCACGAGTCATAAAAGAGCCAAGGTTGCCTGCCCCTGATCTACGTCTATCTATCTATCTATCTATCTATCTATCTATCTATCTATCTATCTATCTATCTATCTATCTATCATCTGTCTGTCTATCATCTAGGTCAGGGGTAGGCAACCTTGGCCCTTTTATGACTCGTGGACTTCAACTCCCAGAATTCCTGAGCCAGCATGAAGGAAATTTTGGCCCCTTCATGACTCGAGGACTTCAACTCCCAGAATTCCTGGGCCAGCATGAAGGAAATTTTGGCCCCTTCATGACTCGAGGACTTCAACTCCCAGAATTCCTGGGCCAGCATGGGGGGAACAATGGCCCTTTTATGACTCGTGGACTTCAACTCCCAGAATTCCTGAGCCGGCATGGCTCAGCTTGGAAACCTGTCCCTTTCCCCTCAGCATGGCTGGCTCAGGAATTCTGGGAGTTGAAGTCCACGAGTCATGAAAGAGCCAAGGTTGCCTGCCCCTGATCTACGTCTATCTATCTATCTATCTATCTATCTATCTATCTATCTATCTATCTATCTATCTATCTATCTATCTATCTATCTGTCTGTCTATCATCTAGGTCAGGGGTAGGCAACCTTGGCCCTTTTATGACTCGTGGACTTCAACTCCCAGAATTCCTGAGCCAGCATGAAGGAAATTTTGGCCCCTTCATGACTCGAGGACTTCAACTCCCAGAATTCCTGGGCCAGCATGAAGGAAATTTTGGCCCCTTCATGACTCGAGGACTTCAACTCCCAGAATTCCTGGGCCAGCATGGGGGGAACAATGGCCCTTTTATGACTCGTGGACTTCAACTCCCAGAATTCCTGAGCCGGCATGGCTCAGCTTGGAAACCTGTCCCTTTCCCCTCAGCATGGCTGGCTCAGGAATTCTGGGAGTTGAAGTCCACGAGTCATGAAAGAGCCAAGGTTGCCTGCCCCTGATCTACGTCTATCTATCTATCTATCTATCTATCTATCTATCTATCTATCTATCTATCTATCTATCTATCTATCTATCTATCTGTCTGTCTATCATCTAGGTCAGGGGTAGGCAACCTTGGCCCTTTTATGACTCGTGGACTTCAACTCCCAGAATTCCTGAGCCAGCATGAAGGAAATTTTGGCCCCTTCATGACTCGAGGACTTCAACTCCCAGAATTCCTGAGCCAGGCCCTTTTATGACTCGTGGACTTCAACTCCCAGAATTCCTGAGCCAGCATGAAGGAAATTTTGGCCCCTTCATGACTCGAGGACTTCAACTCCCAGAATTCCTGGGCCAGCATGGGGGGAACAATGGCCCTTTTATGACTCGTGGACTTCAACTCCCAGAATTCCTGAGCCGGCATGGCTCAGCTTGGAAACCTATCCCTTTCCCCTCAGCATGGCTGGCTCAGGAATTCTGGGAGTTGAAGTCCACGAGTCATGAAAGAGCCAAGGTTGCCTGCCCCTGCCCTAGGAAGAGGAGAGACTCATATTTACTGAGATAAAACCGAGATCCCCTCTACACCTTTCCATATGAATTCAACCCATTGTGACCAGGGACAATCCCACGGCTGTCGTGGTAGTCCTGAATTCCTGAAGAGCTCCTGACCTTTCACCCCATGATCTTATGGTAATAGAACTTTCGATACGCAGATGATATACAAGCACATGGTTGTTCGCGTAGATCAGGGGTATTCCAAATTTGGCAATCTTAACCTTAATTGACCTAAGTCAGTGGTGTCCAACTTTGGCAACTTTTAAGACCTACGGACTTCAACTCCCAGAATTTCTCAGCCCACCAGCCAGCCGTGCTGGGGAATTCTGGGAGTTGAGGTCCACAGGTCTTAAAAGTTGCCACAGTTGGACACCACTGACTTAGATCTATTAATGTTAACTGATCTACTGTAAGTCAGTGGTATCTAACCATGGCAACTTGCTGACCTGTGAACTTCAACTCCCAGAATATATTCTGAAAAGTGTACAAATGTGGAACAGAAAGCTAGTAAACAGCGCTTTCCAACTCGCTGGAGAACGTTCTACCGTTTCTTCTAATAGGAATCGAGAGTATTGTAAAACGAAAGGCTGCTTTTATAATGTACAGGCACGCTTTCAGCATGTTACAAGACTTGCATGCCGGCACGCAACAATTCTGTGAGGAAATCCTCAGATAATACCCCCTACCAAAAAAAAAAAAGGAAAACAAGTCTTTCTAAAAGTCTGAAAGGTACATAAGGTACTTTTTTAAAAAAAATTATTAAGTACAAAGAAAAAAAAAGGATTAAAAACACTGAACATGGTAAATCGTCTTTGACTGACATCTCAGTTCATATTGTACATTAATTACATATAATATACCTATATACAACTATACATTTCTAGTCTCTATCTCAGTTTATCTCTTTACTGTGACCTCCATTTTTTCCCCTCCATCTATAAAATTTATTCCATATTCGATAAAATTCTGTTTCTTCCTGATTTTTTAATCTTTTAGTTATCCTATCTAGTTCTGCGCAATACATAGTTTTCTTTATTAGTGCTTCCCCACTCGGCCCTTCCATTGCTTTCCACAGTATCCTTGCTGCTGTGACCACATGGATAATTAAATATGTGTCCTCTTTATTTACATTTTTCTCTAGTATTCCTAATAGTAGTGTCTCAGGTTTGTATTGAATGTTTTGCCTAGTCATTTCTATTGCCCAGTCCCAGACCATACGCCAGTACACCTGTGCTTCTCTACATGTCCACCATATATGAAAAAAGGTGCCCTTTTCTTTTTTTACATTTCCAACACATATAGATGAATATCCGTTATACATTTTGGCTAATCTGGCCGGAGGGAGATGCCATCTGTAAACCATCTTATACAGGTTTTCTTTATGTGATGTCGCCACTGTGATTTTGTTATTTCGCTCCCATACTTGCTGCCATTGATCCATATTTATATTATATCCTAGATCTATTGCCCATGTCACCATTGTTTCTTTAACCTGCTTACTTTCAAAGTCTGTGTGACCTTTGCAACTTAGCGCACGATCAAAGAGGGGGAACGGCAAATTCTCTGGATGAAGCAGGGGTATTTAAATCCCTCGTTTCACGTCCCTCAACCTGGACCTCTACTTATGGACGGGTAGTTCTCAACTTACAACCCTTCGTTTAGCAACTGTTCAAAGTTGCAACAGCACGAGAAAAAATGACTTATGACTGGTCCTGACATATAACTGTTGCAGTATCCCTACAGTTGTGAGATCAAAATTTGGAAGACTGTTATAATGGGGGGGGGGCTTGCCTTTTTCAAGGCAATACCTGCTCCTTCAACGTCCCTTCACAGTGCTTCCTTTTTAATCCCGTTTATCCCCAAATGATTCTTAAAGGACCCAGGACTACAAATGGTCCTCAAAAGCCTTGGGTGAGTCTCACGAGATCTCTACAAGCTTTAGCCAAATTCTAACTTTCAGTGTGAAAGAGTAACAAAATTTTTGAAATGCGTAATAGAAAAAAAAATCCTATCAATTGAATGTAATATTAATTAAATGTGGGGTTTTTTTTCTGCCCTCAGCCCAAAGGAAGGCGTACTTTAAATTCTCTGGGAAATACATCATAATTACTCATAGTTCACACTTGAATTGGCTGCTCCCTTAATCATATGAATCATGTATCTTTAAATCTAGTTAATAAACCAAAAAAAACCCAAGCCCCTGAACATAAATAATATTGTTCTTTCCTCCTACAAACACTTTGGACTGTAAAGTATTAAAGTGATGGAAGAGAGGCTGTGTTGTTTTACCTGGTAGTGATTGGGTTGTATCATGTGCTGTGGACTGGGATAAAATCCTTCACTTGATCTTGGACTGGGGTAACCGGGTCTGCTGGGCTAGAAAAAGAAAGAAATTTAAGAAATCAGCAATATACCATCTTCTTCCGAAGCGGGACATTTTAAAAAAGAACGGCCTACTTAGTTTTACATTCCTCATCTCAATTTGTACCAGGCAACTGTCTTCCGGATATTACAACTTACGGAAGGCACAAGAACTTTTACTATGGAAGCCGGAAGTAGAAAGTAGAATATAGAATAAGAGAGTTGGAAGGGACCTTGGAGGTCATCTAGTCCAGGACTTTTCAACCTTTTCACCCGTTGTACCACTTTTAGGATATGGCAACATCCGAGTACCACCAGTCGCCTAGCAAGGTGTCAAAAACTTGATTACAAAAAAAAAGGAAAAAAAGAAAAAAGTGATAAAGTACAGGTAGTCCTTGACTTACAATAGTTCGCTTAGTGACTGTTTGAAGTTACAATGGCACTGAAAAAAGTGCCGAGCAAGACACCTGCCTGCCCGCCCGGCGGCGCTCTTCCTCCTGTCCGAGGTTTTCATTGTTGTGAGCATTTCTGTTGAGGATTGGCAGCGGGGGTGGGGTAGGAGCTGTTTGGTTTTTATTCCTCCCGTCTGCTGGGTGGTTGCAGCAGGTTTTGGTCACTTCACATGACCCTGGGACACTGTGACCGTCATAAATATGAATCGGTTGCCAAGCATCTGAATGTAAATCACAAGAGCCTGGAGAGGCTGCAACATTCCAGCTGATCGGCGCTTCTTCTGGGCTCAGCAGAATCACCAGGATCAGCGCCGAGCTCCAGCTGGAGCCTGGCGCTGATCCTGGCGCTTCCGCTGAGCCCTGACAGCCCTGCAGCTCCAGCCATCTCTCACTCAGGCTTGTGCAGTGCTGGTTCAGCTCATTCCCTTCCCCTGCTACCATTTTTCTAGGATGGTTGCATACCACCTGCCAGGTGCCAATGTACCACAGGTGGTACCCGTACCACTGGTTGAAAAACCTTGTTCTAGCCCAACCTCTTGCACAAGCAGGAGACCCTATACCACTTCAGGCAAGTGGCCGTCCAGTCTCTTCTTCAAAACCTTAAAACCATTTTCTTCTTATATTTTCCTTTTAGAGTTAGATGATGCTGGGGGGGGGGGAGAGGAACGTGCATGAGAGTTCAGATAGACATAACAATACCGTACTTGGTGTGAGAACCAAAGTTAATGAAATAAGAGATGGTAAAAATTGGCGGGCTGGAGAACTGGAGGGAAAGCCTGCATTTCAAGCTAATTGGGGAATGTGATTTATGACAGTTAATTAGAGGAGGGAATTGTGCTTTGATACTAAGTGCTCAGGGGAGGGGAATCCAGTTTTTGGCTTCGACTGTGTTAGTGCCGATGCCATGCTTCCCAAATAAAGACTCTTTAAGGTCAACAATGCCTCAAAGTTCTTTGAAGAGTTTCATCTGTCGGAACCATGACACCCCCTGGTCATTAAGTGAGGACCCACCCCAATCCCAACCACTCCTGACTTGGTCCTTCTCAGCCCCAAGTCTTGGTAAGGTAAGGGGCTCCTTCCTCTGCACTTCCTCCCCCATTTCCCCCCTCCCTGCCCCTTATCTGCCATTTTGGCTACCTGCACAACCAGCGCTCCTCGGAAGCGGTGGCACTGAAGCTGAAGGAGAGGCCTGGGGCCTTCAGCGGTCAGCTGGCACTGCCCCCACCCAGGCCTCTACTTAAGCCTCAGCATCGCCGCCAAGAAGTGCATCCTCCCTCCCTGTGAAAGCAAACAGCCATTTCAACACCACGGAGCAGGTCCTGCCACCCTGCCACCCTGCGCTCTGCAGGCCCTGCCGCATCCAGCTGATCTTCGCTGCCTTTCTCCCGCTGCTGACCAGGTGCGCCCAACCTGGCCCTATGCGAGGCAGCTCCTGCTCATGCCAGGCCTTCTTCACAAGGCTGCTTGTGCCATTCTCTAAATCAGGGGTCCCCAACCCCGGTACCAGGCCGCGGCATGTTAGCAACCGGTCCGCACAAACAAGCAAAGCCCCATCCGCGAGATACAGGCAGCACACAAAACCATGCCCCCTCCGGTCCGCAGAAAAACCTCACTCCACGGAACCGGTCCCTGGTGCCCAAAAGGTTGGGGACCTCTACTCTCAATAGCCCGTGCCAATGTCGTGATGCTTCAGAAGGCTTCTGGTGCCTTCTGAAACCTCGCAAGAAGGCCAACCCCACCAATCTCCAAATTGTGCGGCCTGTTCTCACAACACTTTGGAAAGCCTTCAGAAAGCTTCTGGGATCTTCTACTTCAGACCCAGCACCACTACGCAGGGTGACCAAAAAAGGGGATAGGCGGTGGGAAGATAGACAAGTGGAGTTGAAACAGTCCTGGGATCAGAAATGTGGGCGGGCCGTCAAGTGTGCCAATTTTGATCGCGTGTCCATCCATACCTTTGGGAGACTAAGAGTTAAGTCCCCTTTGTTCAGCACGGACATAACTTTGTTGTTAAGCAATGTTGTGTCCCCAAATTAAGATAAGTAGGACAGTGGTGGCGAACCTATGGCACGTATGCCAGAGGCGGCACTCAGACCCCTCTCTTTGGGCACGTGTGCCATGCCCCAGAGATTGTAACCCTCCCTCTTCAACCAGCCTTCCACTAACTCGCCAAAGTCCCACGTGGCTAGATGCATCCCAGCATGGCTGATTTCTCTCCCCCCCCCATCCCATTCCTCCTAGCCTCACGTGCTCTCCTTTTCCCAGGCATGACCCACTGCATCACCTCCTCAGTTGTCGGCCGGCTGTCCAGATCAGAGGTGGCTTCTCTGAACTGCTGGCGGTGGGCTGCGGAGCCCCAGAGTGCTCCGGTCGAGGGACCAGCAGGCTGTGGCTGCTGACGGACACTGTTGGCCCCCATGCACTCGCTGGCTTCTGTATGCAGGGGCCAATGGTGTCAGGCAGCAGCCGCCCTGGCCCGTGCCTCGCCTTGCCCTGCGACAATGGCACCCCCACCCTGCCTCGCTTTGCCCAGCTCACCTCACAGGACGAGCCTCCTGCCCACCACCCCACCTGCCAGAGACCCCCTGGATCTCCCCCAACCCTGCCTGGCCTCCACAGGCATCCCTCCCCACGAGCAACATCAAGGTGACCACGCCAACCTTGGCCACACCCACCCAGTTTGCAATGACCACAGCCATGCCCACCCAGTGGGTCACACCCACCTGGCACCCGGCGATAAATAAGTGGGTTTTGGGTTGCAGTTTGGGCACTCGGTCTCTAAAAGGTTCGCCATCACTGAAGTAGGAGAACAGTCGGTCTTCATTTATGAGTGGTGCTACTCAACTATAATCAAAACTTGGTTTCGGAATGCCAATATTTTAAGCCTACTATGGATCTGTGGGCCAATTCGCTCCCTATAATTTGATATACTGAACATTGGACCAATATGTATGAAGTTTTACTACATGTAGAAGGCTTAGCCATAAATTGGGAAAAAAACCACACGCTATAAATACGATCTAGGTAAAAAAAAAACCGAATAGTTATATTTAACAAAGAAGAGACACCTAATGAGAAGGAAGGACTCACTGGAGAAGAGCCTGATGCTGGGAAAGATGGAGGGCAAGAGAAGAAGGGGACGACAGAGAATGAGGTGGCTGGATAGAGTCACTGAAGCAGTAGGCGTGAGCTTAAAGGGACTCCAGAAGATGGTAGAGGACAGGAAGGCCTGGAGGAACGTTGTCCATGGGGTCGTAATGGGTTGGACACGACTTTGCAACTAACAACAACATCTGTATTCACTTAGTCTTGTCACTGTTGTCCTTTCTGGCGTCACATTTGTATTGTTTCATCCTGAAGTTGAAACTCAAGAACTTTGGCCACCTAATGAGAAGGACTCACTGGAGAAGGGCCTAATGCTGGGGAAGACGGAGGGCAATAGAAGAAGGGGACGACAGAGAATGAGGTGGCTGGATGGAGTCACTGAAGCAGTAGGCGTGAGCTTAAAGGGACTCCAGAAGATGGTAGAGGACAGGAAGGCCTGGAGGAACATTGTCCATGGGGTCGTAATGGGTTGGACACAACTTTGCAACTAACAATAACATCTGTATTCACTTAGTCTTGTCACTGTTGTCCTTTCTGGCGTCACATTTGTATTGTTTCATCCTGAAGTTGAAACTCAAGAACTTTGGCCACCTAATGAGAAGGACTCACTGGAGAAGGGCCTAATGCTGGGGAAGACGGAGGGCAATAGAAGAATGGGACGACAGAGAATGAGGTGGCTGGATGGAGTCACTGAAGCAGTAGGCGTGAGCTTAAAGGGACTCCAGAAGATGGTAGAGGACAGGAAGGCCTGGAGGAACATTGTCCATGGGGTCGTAATGGGTTGGACACAACTTTGCAACTAACAACAACATCTGTATTCACTTAGTCTTGTCACTGTTGTCCTTTCTGGCGTCACATTTGTATTGTTTCATCCTGAAGTTGAAACTCTAGAACTTTGGCCACCTAATGAGAAGGACTCACTGGAGAAGGGCCTAATGCTGGGGAAGACGGAGGGCAATAGAAGAAGGGGACGACAGAGAATGAGGTGGCTGGATGGAGTCACTGAAGCAGTAGGCGTGAGCTTAAAGGGACTCCAGAAGATGGTAGAGGACAGGAAGGCCTGGAGGAACATTGTCCATGGGGTCGTAATGGGTTGGACACAACTTTGCAACTAACAACAACATCTGTATTCACTTAGTCTTGTCACTGTTGTCCTTTCTGGCGTCACATTTGTATTGTTTCATCCTGAAGTTGAAACTCAAGAACTTTGGCCACCTAATGAGAAGGACTCACTGGAGAAGGGCCTAATGCTGGGGAAGACGGAGGGCAATAGAAGAAGGGGACGACAGAGAATGAGGTGGCTGGATGGAGTCACTGAAGCAGTAGGCGTGAGCTTAAAGGGACTCCAGAAGATGGTAGAGGACAGGAAGGCCTGGAGGAACATTGTCCATGGGGTCGTAATGGGTTGGACACAACTTTGCAACTAACAACAACATCTGTATTCACTTAGTCTTGTCA